GCGCTTCAGCATGCAGAACGACGCTGGCGAGTTCGTGGACCTGTACGTGCCGCGGAAATGGTGAGCGCCCTTGCCCCTTGCCGTCCCTTGTGCCTTGGTCGGTGCCCCGCGGCCCCGCTCGCTCACTGTGCGACCCGTTCCCCGCAGCTCCGCCAGCAACCGCATCATTGGTGCCAAGGACCACGCGTCCATCCAGATAAACGTGGCCGAGGTGAGCTGGGTTTTGCAAGGCCTGTCCGTGGGGGACCCCGGTTCGGGACGTTGTTCTGGGCTTAGCTTTGTGCGTTGCTTTCCAAACCCCAGGTGAGTGGCATTTCCATGTCTTAACAGGTGGACAAGGTCACCGGCAGGTTTAACGGCCAGTTTAAGACCTACGCTATCTGCGGGGCCATTCGCAGGATGGTGAGTTTTCCCTAGGCGTGGCTTGCCATGGTCCCCGTCCCCAGCCTGGACCTTGTGAGTGTACGGTGGTTTCTGCCTCAGGCTGGTGGATTGTGCGTGGAATAGGTTTGCTGGAGCCCAGGAAAAGGGACGACTCTGAGAAAGGACTCCGGTGGCTAGGAGCTTGCCAGCGTGTTTCTCCTGGCTGGTTTTTGGGCACAAATGTGGGTTTGACAAGGCATGCAGAACTTCTTGTCAGCTCAGGTGGAAACATTCTTTGAGTGTTTTTTTTTTTTTTTAAAGGGCGAGTCAGATGACTCCATTCTGCGATTGGCCAAGGCAGATTGCATCGTCTCAAAGTAAGGCGGTTGTTGCATGTGGATGGAGTGGCCAGGGACTTCACCAGAGACATGGTTTAATACTGGCTTTGTTTTCTTGTAGGAATTTTTGACTGGAGAGAATTGGAGATGCAGAATATTTGTCATAAATAAATAATGAAAAGCCACCTGTGTGGGTCTGATCTGTCCCTATGGGCCCTGGAACAGGCCCTTTGCTGTGGATGGATGACTAGGATGAGTAATGTATGTAGTTAGCTGAAAGGAGAAACTGAAGTGTGTTGCAAAACCAAGTTTTACTTCAACAAACAAATACATTATCCATTTGAAAACAATCTGTGACATAAACTTGAACATTCTGAGGTCAGATACTTGCGTACACACATTCACATCCAGGACTGCTATGGTGTGTGGACATGACACCAGGTCTGGCTTTGTTTGGTCACAGCCCAGACTTGACTTGGGCTAGAAAGTTACAGGTTCAAGCTGTTTGGTTTAAGTACTGGCTTTTTTGCAGCAGCTTTGGGTACCGCATGGCAGTAGCTCTGGGCATTGTTGAAAAGGACGTACAGAAGGAAGGGCTCCAGACACACCAGTTTGGTCAATGACTAAACTCATGACATAAATACACTAACCTATTTACTACCGTGTTTACCAGCCATTTCCTTAATATCAGTGCTTTTCAGAGTTGGTGGGGCCCAGGTCCAGTGTTTGCAGGCTGTAGTCTTGGAGGATAAAAGGTCTCTGGACTCTCCTTGGCCTTTTAGAAGACTGTGACCTCCAGCCATTCCCTTTCCTCAGCTGGGGTGGTCAGCTGTGTTGTACCTTTCCTAGGGTGGGTATGGAACTGGGTGTCTCCAGCAGTGGACTGCAAGAACACAGGCCATATGAACAGAATTCTTAGTCCCCGCTGGTGACAGTTTATGGGATAGACAGCCTTCTGCCCAACAGCCACAGTTGCTGTGTTTGAGGCCAGCTGAGCTGTGAGGGAAGACCAAGAAAAGCCTTCTTGGTTGCTCAGTGTTCTTGGGCAGCAGCCTGGGAAACTGGAGTACATGGTCCTCTGCAAGAATATTGAACCTGGAAAAGCTGACAATGGCCCTGTGCTCTGAGCACCTGCACAGAAGGGACAGCGATGGCCCTTTGGCACAGCAGGCTGCACTGGTCGAGACAGCATCTACTTTCTGCCTAGGAAGAAAGGGCATTGACCTCCTGAGTGAGGAGGCTCTGCAGCAGCAATGCCTTCCTGCCTGAGGGTCAAGCATGGTTCTGAGGTACACCTTTGGCAGACCTCATGGAAGGAACCCAGTTGTTCCCTTGAAAGTCCCACAGAACCAAATTCCAAGTTAAAATAAATAATATTTGCACTGTCACAATATTGCTTAGGGGAATCAAGAGCCAGCGGTTTTCCTCACGGTCCAGTGTCATGGATAGATAGGTGTTCCCGGCAAGAGGCACAGGGTGGGTCCTGGCACGGGATGGGCTGAGGTCTGCCAATCCCTTTGGATATGTGACACAGCACTGGGGTTTCACAGTGACATGAAAGCTCAAAAACAGGTCTGAGTCAAAAAGAAAGATCAAAACAGACCAGGCATCTGCCCTTGGCTCAGCCCAGCACCAAGAGCTGCCTGTGAAAGTTTGGGGAGTTCTGGAGGAAGCAGTGGCCAGTGGGCGTGGATGCTGGGAGGCGCCTCTGGGAAAACGTTATACCCAAGATGTATGCTTAATAAGTTAGACATGGCAATTCAGGTATGTCATGAGGTCTGACATGCAGATCTCCAGTGCTGTGGCTGTGAGAGTTGGCAAGGCAAGGTGAAGGAGAGGCCAGAACTTGGATTCACCTCCATGTGATGGTTGTAAACCACAGGTTCTGGTGTCAGGCCCATCTCAGGCACATGAGAAGCGCCACACCCCCATACTGTCTGTGCAATACTCCAGGAAACCTCTCAAACATCCTTGGAGGTGTGGTGCACTTTGGAATGAAAGTGACATGCTTTTCCAAGGAAACCCAGAATAAGAGAAGCTGCGTGGGCTGGGAGGGGGCAGGTGGGCGGACTGCTGGCCTATGCCTGGGCCAAGGGCTGTGCTTCTGCCCAGCAGCCTTCCTACACGTCCATGCCTGGCCTAGAGCTGCTGGGTGAGCCGTCTGTAGTGAGGTAAGACTTGGTTCTCGGGGAGGTACAAGGCCAGCTCCAAAGCCACGAGCACCGTGAACTCAAACCCAATGAGATCTCGCCTGTTGAACCGGAATCTTTCTTCCAGCTTCTGTGTGAAGGAGAGAGGTTCAACAGGTTAATCCCAGGACTGCACCCCCAACCTGAGCAGTGACTGGGTGTCAGCCACCTACTAGGCAAGCTGCTGGCAGACCTCCCTCCAGCATGGCCTTGCTCCTAAGGCTGGACTAGTCTGGGCCACCACAGCAGGGCCTCCTACTCACATCAATGAGCTGCTTCACTTCGTTCTTGCGGAGGTCACTGCTGATCTTGGCTGCAAGCAGCACACAGGCGCCAGCACACAGCTTGCGGTTCTGCTTGTTGAGCTTGCCCTGCAGCACAAGCTTCTCAAAGTACACGTAAGCCATGGACACAGTGCCTGGCTCCAGGCTGCACTCCTCCGACAGGTTCCGCATCTCCCGCTTCAAACTGGTGGGAGAGAACGTGTCCAAGGGCAGAGGCTCTGATGCTGCTGAGGCAGCTGCCACGGCTTGTGCCATGTGCCCTTGGGGTTATACTGGGGAGCAGGCTGGGACATCTGCCTGGTACTCCTTACCTCCGGATTTTGCTTAATGTCAGTTTGATGTGAGGGAACTTCTCCTTAAAGGTCTCGTTCATGTCCTTCTTGAGGTCTGAGGGCTTCACGTACTCTATCACTGTGGTCTGCAACAGAAGTGAAGCAGGTAGGGCCAGCCCACCTTGGGATAGCCTGGCACAGCCTGGGTCTGCACACATGAACATGAGGAGCTTCAGAGGGGCACCTGGATCTCCGAGAATGAAATGGCTGAAGAGCCCATCTGTCCTTGGTGGGGAGGCCCCAGCTGCCAGTCTCTGAGGGCTGACCCCAGGTGAGCATGGCCAGCCTGGCTCTCTGGCCTGCCTATGTCTATGGCCTGGGTCCCTTTCCTGCTGCTGTTGGTGTTCTGAGGTGGGGGGGGGGTCCCCATGCACTGGCTATCTGGAGCTTCTGGGTGCCAGGGGTGGCTTGCCCACAGCCCACCCATGTGCCCTGAGCCGCGGTGGGGTGAGGTGGGCAGCTTGCAGGCCACAGGTGGCCGGTGCTCACCATGTATGAGGCAAAGATGAGGACCCGCTTGTGCTTTCCACAGGGCCACTGCGGGTCGTCCAGGAGGTTGGGATTATACTCCAGGGTATCTCCCACGTCACTCCCTGTAAGTAGAGGCAGCTCCTGACCCACCAGAGTCTGTGTGGAAACTGTCCAGTCCACAGGGGAGGCATCACAGCCAAGTACCTTGGGTCTGAGAGGAGCCCCAGGCCACAATTCCCTTCCTGTCCCCAGCCCAGGTGAAAGGGACAGGAGTCCTGTAGGGACATTGAAAGGTCAGGTCCCTTCCTGAAGCAGCCTGGGGCAGGGTGCCACTTCCCCACCTGGCCTGGGCAGAGCCCAGAGCTGTGTGCAGCCTGGAGCCTTTTCTCTCCCGAGAGGCTCTGCTGCCCTGCTCTGCAGCCAGGCATTGCCATGAGCTCCGGTCTGAGTGTGGCCTATTGGTGCTGCTGCCTCCCCTGTGCCGTGGGAAGACAGGCTACTATACCTAGCTCTGTGCCAGCTGGTGCCGACTTGGCAGTGGCAGGTTTATGTCTTGACCCTGGCAGAGCCCGGGGGATGCTCGGCCGAGGCTGGGGCAACGGGCCGTGGCTGTCACTCTTGGGTGCGACCAGGGCGTTGGTAGGGTACAGGAACTTTGCATAAGAGACAACCTGGAAAAGCAGTCACACTGGGGTTCAGTCCTGCTTCCTGAGAGCAGAGGTGCAAACGAGTTGTTTTCCACGTTGCAGTGCACCTGAGCTGCCACAGAAAAGGAGCCCAACTCAGAGCCAGGGAGCAGCTGTGGGCACCATGCCACTGGCTCACCCAGAGCTGGTGGTCTCAGGCCACCAGCTTCCCATATTTAGTCTGGATCTGTAGTGATGTGACATCCCCTGCCTCTGAAGACCCTTAGCCTTAGCTACAGGCCCAGAGGTAGGGCCAGACAGTATGGAGAGTCTGGGCTGCAGAGGGGCAGTGCAGCACATGCCTGGCTGACCCCAGGTCATTTTTCAGGGCTGGCTAGAAGGGCATCTGCTGACAGGCATGGTCATTTCCCCAGGGCTAGGTGGCCCACCCCCCACACTCTCCTTCCCATGTCCCTCTGTGGGTACTGGCTACAGGGCTGTTCCTGCCCACCCTGCCCTCACTGTGCTGGCCATTGGCTGGCCCTGGGGCTCTTGCCTTTCCGTCTGCTCCCAGTTCAACACCTTCCAACTCAAACACCATCTCAGAAGAAACGGAAACACCGCCAGACGGATGCCTCTGCTTCTGGCTGTCCACCCTCAGGTCACTGCAAAGCACAGAAGGGGAGGGGCTGTGGCCCTGCTACCTGTGGCTGGTGGTGGGTGGGAGCTGGGCCCTCCACAGTCCTGACAGCTCAGCACACCTGTCTGTCTGTACAGTGGTGCTCACGCCCCTCTTGTCAGAAGAAAAGTGCACAGGAATGGCCAGGAGGCAAGGCCCCAGGCTTTCATTGTGAGGCCGGCTGAGCCTGGCTCCTGCCCTGGCTCAGACATTGTCAAACACCTGGGTGGCGGTGGCAGTGACCCAGCTCAGCACGATCTTCAGCCACCCCTTCACCTGCAGCCACATCCCTCGGTGCAGCTCAGCCTGGACCCTGAGAACTGGTGCCTCTCCACTGGGGCGTAAGTTTCCCTGTTGCCAACTGTTTTTATGCCAGAGTTACACATCATGCTTCCCCACCCAACAGCCATTTCCTTTTCCCCTGAAGTGTGCTCAGGACACAATTGCCTGGACTAGTCACAAGGAGGCACAACTGTCTGCAAGAGGGACAGGAACCTCACAGGGAACCTACATAAAGAAGCCAGGCATGGTGGCTCACGCCTGCAATCCCAACAGCTCAGGAGGCTGAGGCAGGAGAATCGTGAGTTCAAAGCCAGCCTCAGCAACAGCAAGGTGCTAAGCAACTCAGTGAGACCCTATCTCTAAATAAAATACAAAATAGGGCTGGGGGTGTGGCTCAATGGTCGAGTGCCCCCAAATTCAGTTTCTGGTACTAAAAATGAAACAAAACAAAAGACAGGTTGAGCAGAAACCAAGGGTCCTCCCAGAAAATGAGAACCCAAAATGGCCAGAGTTCCTGAGCTCTGGAAGCAGTAGATGTGCTGACCCTGGGTCTGCATAGAGCCTCCAGGGCCCAAATGGCCTCAGTCTGCACTGAGGGTCCAGACTTGCCTAGAGGAGAGTGCTGGTGAGTGCTCACCTGATCCGCAGGCCTTCTCCATAGGGCAGGACTGAGAAGGCTGCACACAGGGACCGCTTGGCACAGATGAGCACGATCCTGTGGGGAGGGCAGGGTCAGAGCCGGGCAGTGTCCTTTCCAGGGTTGTGGGCATTTCCAAAGGAAAACTCCATTCTGCTGAATCCATGTGAGGGGAAGGTGCCAGCCGCCCAAGGGGGCTCAGCCCAGGAAGCTGGGGCCTTGGTCAGCAGATCTTGCACCTCAGCACTGGGCTGAGCGAGCTCCCTGTTCCCTAGGATGTGCTTAACAGGGCACCCCTCCCTCGGGTGCTGCTGCAGGAGTGTGGGCAGGACTGCAACAGGCAGGCAGAGGACACCGCCTCAGGGAAGGCCAGGCCTCCTTTGTAAAGGCAGAAGGTCCACTTGAAGCCAGGCATGAGGTCCTGAGCAGAGAGAGCTTAATGGCATCAGAAGTGTCTGCAACACGAGGCTCCAGGGAAGACAGAGCTGCACCCACAACTTCGGACCCCTGCACTGGGTCCTCCCTGCTGGGGTCCGCAGCTCTGCACTCGGTCTGCCTGGAGCTGTCCCGTGCACTGTCTCCTGAGGAAACCTCCACATGGCTATGGTGCCTTGGGAGTGCTGCAAAGATGGCTTCCGGGGAAGGGGAGCTCTTTGGGATCCCCTGGGTCAGGGTGAGGGACAGGAAATAGGATCCCCACCAGGGCAGGTGGTACACATCCTCCTGGGGACCAGCCTGGTACTCTTTGGGCAGTTCAGCCTCCCCATGTGCTTCCAAATATGACCAGCCCCGCCTCGGGACACATCTCAGCGCTGAGCCTATTTCTGCATTTCCAGTGTTCCCTTCAATTCTTTTCCTGAAGGCGTGAGTCGGCCTGGAGGCTCTTCCCCAGGGATTGCAGAGTGGGCTCTCTGGGCAGGAGGGACACCTGCTTGTGCTCTGTGGGTACAGGGGAAGGTGTCTGCTTCTAAATGGTCATGGGATGGGCTGTGGGCACAGGGACAGGAGCCTGGTCTCCTGCAGCTGGCCTCCAGGGACCATAGGCTAGACCTGGCTGCCCTGGCCTGGGCCCTGGAGCCGTCACCTGCTGTTCCTGGTGTCATACTGCCTCATGTTCTTGATGAAGTGGGTCTTCTTCAGCCCTTTGTGTCTTGGTGATCCAGATGCGTGTTTGGTCCTGCAGGTAAACGAATAGGTCACTCCTGTCCTCTTGGGACCCTGTCTATCCCAGGGGTTGGCAGGTTGCCTACCTCTGAACCGAGGCACATCCCACTGCATCTTCCAGAAACTCAAGGGAGCAGCGCTGAGACGTGACTCGCCGCCTGTGAGGAAGACAGTGCAGCCTCAGGACCCGCCACAGGCTTCAGGGCCACCTTGACAGCTGTGCTACCTAGGTAGAGCTGGTGCCGCAACTGTGCAGGGCAGAGCCTCTGTGGGGTGAGGAGAGGCCAGGCCACACACCTCTGGGCTAAGAGGCTTTGAGGGCCTGAGAGGAGGAGGGAGGGAGCAGTCCTTGGGTTCCTTGCTAGGGAGGAGTGGCCCTGCTGGGCAGGCTCTGTAAACAGAACAAGTCACACTGAGCTTCCAGGCCCTGGAGGGTGCTAAGTGCTCCACCTGTGGGGGCCACCTGGGGCTGAGGGAGCCTGCCCTTCCTTACCGCAGGGCAGGCCCCACACTGTGGCCCAGCCCAGAGGCACCACCAGGCACAACACAGCCTTCTCACATGCAGCTGCTCCCTCAGGAGCACCCCCACCTGGCTCAGGCCTCACAGGGCTAGTCCTGGGTTTAGAACATTCTTTTCCAGCTCGGCTGGTGGCCCCGTACTTCTGGACTTTAGGGTTTAGCTGTATGTTGCCCCTCAGCGCTGCTGGACTGTGCTGTCCTGTGGGCATGGGACGTCTGTGGCAACATCAGTAATGGATCTCCCTGCCTCCTCTACAGGAGCAGCAGTCCCAGGGGATGTAGCAGGGGCCATGTACTCACTGCTGGCCCCCAGTGCCTATGCCCAGAAGCCAGGATGCAGAGGCAGAGTTTGATGGCACACGAGAGAGCTCTGAGAAGGTGGCCTCCCTGCACCAGGCGCTGGGAACGGGGCTTCTCAAGCTGGAGATCTCAGAAACCCTGCATGGTCATAATTTTGCACCAAGACTGTCAAGGTCACCAGTGACCTCCTGGTCCTCACAAGGGAGAATGTCTGGACCTCACAGCAAAGCTACCAATACAGCTTCCAGAGGCCAAGCAGCACATGGAAAGGGCCTCATGGAAGGCAGGTGGGTCTGCCCCAGGGCAGTCTGAGCCAGGGCCCCACTGAGAGGACAGAGACGTCAGGGGTCAGTGCTGAGGCTGCACCAAGTTGGGTACCACCCCTCCCAAAGTTCTCTGTCACAGCTCTCAAGCACCAGGCTTACATGTGAGGGGCTTTACTTTTAGCTTTATTCTTCCTTTTTTTTTTTTTGTGGGGTGGGGGATGAACCCAGGGCTTTGTACGTTCGAGGCAAGTACTCTACCAACTGAGCTACATCCCCAGCCCTATTCTTCCATTTTTAAACAAGTGGTGCATATATTTTAAAAGAAAAATCTAGAAAATATATACAGAAGCAAACATTTAAAAACCTTTCACCCAATCACTCATAATCCTCCTCCCAAGGCCAGTGTGCTACTGTCCTGACACGGGGTCACTGCAATTCTCAGGGTCATGCTGTGACCGTGCTGCAGCCACCTCCCTGTGTAGACTGCACACCTGGCGTCACGTGCACTCCCAGTGTGGGCTGGGCTTGCCCCGCTTTGAGAGAGCCCTGGACTGGCAACCCTGTGTCCCGGGCACTGGGCCCACTGAGTACCACTGCGCAGACGCCAGCCCTCGGCACTCCTGCCTGACGACTCCCCGAGGAGGCCCCGAGAGGAACTGCTGTCCCAGGACGGCTCCTTGAGCCAGAGGTTCTAGGCTCTGCCCAAGGGGAAAGGTAAGCCCCTAAACAGAATCTGAAGACCCATCCATGAGCCACACCCTCCTGCCTGGACTCCAGGACCCCCAGGAACTTTCCATAAGTGAAGGGCTGAGTCGCATACTTGCTCCTGCCAGGACATGGCACCTGCTGGCCCCCAGGTGCACAGGACCATGCTCGAAGTCTTCCTGACATGGGCACAGGAACCTAAAGAGATCAAATGGCTCTCAGGCCCATGCAGCAGAGAGCAAAGCTGGGACTTGAACCCAGGTCCACTTGAGACTGCAAAGCTTTGCTCCTGTCCTTGTCCCAGGAGCCATGGCGAACACGCTGGGCACCCAATGTTTCAGGAGTGCAGTTTATGGTTCACACCACACGGCATTATAAGGAGAAGCATACCAGTCAAGATGATGACAAGAGTGAGTGCTGCAGGTGACGGTGCTGATGGTGTTGTTAATGATGGTCTGGTGTTGACTGTATTGGTGGCGATGGTACTGGTGACTGTGGTGTTGTTGGTGATGACAGTACTGGCAGTGAGGTGACAGAATGCCATTAAGGCTTGATCAGTGCTGGACACTGACCTGCTGTGCCTGTGCCTGAGGAGCTAGGGAGCATCACATCTTTCTCCAGGGTTCTGGGGCCAGCTGGGGCAGAGGGCTTACTGAGCTAAGGCCCTGCAGGGCTGCTTTGTCAGCTCCTGTAGCACCTGCTGGCTCTGCAGCCTAGGGCTGCCCACGTCCATCTCCCCAGAGGGCACTGATGGGGAGCTCCTGTGCAGGACCAAAGACTTCACACTGACATGGGCACTCCTGCACGCATGCAGGAGACACGTGACCCAGCCTGTCTGCCCTCTGACCTAAGCCAGAGTGGAGACTCAAGAGGCAAGTCTCTGACTGGATGAGGGTCAATGCAAGGGGACAGAGGTGCTGCTAGGTGAAAAGTGCATGGGGACAAGAGAACAAACCTCTGGTCACAAAAGGACAACTGGTTTGACATGCGAGACACGAGCTGCAGAAAGGCGAGAGCCCTGCACGGTGTCTGTACTGTTGTGCAGGCTGCAGCCCTGTGGCCTTCAGTGATAGCACCCAGAGCCGAGTAGTGTTCCCCTCAACTACAGAGTATGACTGCATTTAGAAACAGGGTTTCCAAGGAGATGATGAGGGTAACCAGTCACTAGATTGAGCCCTGATCCAACCTGAAGGATGTCCTTATAAGAAAAGACCAGGGCCGGGCACGGCAGTGGCATGCAGGCTGGCATTGGCATGCCTGTGATCCCAGGGCTCAGGCGGCAGAGGCAGGAGGATCACAAGTTCAAAGCCAGCTTCAGCAATTTAGGGAGGTGCTCAGTAACTCAATAAGACTCTGTCTCTAAATAAAATATAAAATAGGACTGGGGGTGTGGCTCAGTGGTCGAGTGCCCCTGAGTTCAATGCCTGGTACTCAAAAAAAAAAAAAAAAATCAGGACACAACATAACAAGAGGGAGGGGAGGCCACAGGCTGGAGAGGAGGCCCCAAGAAATACCCACCCTGCCCACACCGTGGTCTTGGCCTCAAGAGTCCAGAATGAGAGGAACGGATGTCTGTCTGTTGTTCAAGCCACCAGGTAGAGGCGCTGTCATAGCAGCCCAGCTGACTAGCCCAGCTGACTAACCCAGCTGGCAGGAAGCCACATGGTGGAGTTGGGCCGGATGGTCTGTGAGCTCACCTCGCCTCAGCCCACTGTCTGCACGGGATTCAGAACAGCTGGGCACCTACTGTGCATCACGGCTGTGTGTTAAGACATGACAGGTCCACCCATCCGCAGACTGCTGACCCAGAGTGGCTGATGTGCTCTGTAGCCTGTGCTGTGTGGCCTGGGGCTGCCTGCAGGGCTGCTGGGCGTGCACTTCCCAGCAGGGTGGGCCTATGTCCCTAAGCGTGAGCCAAGGCCAAGTCCTAGGGAAGGGAGAGGGAGTTCATGGGAGCTGCAGCAGCCTTCGGGTGCCAGGCAGGCACCTTCCTCGCAGCATCTCCCAGCAGGACCCCTGACCTGAGCGAGGTCTGGCATGCTCAGGCCACCTTCTGACTCTGGCAGAGACAGCCTGGAGTGCAGGTCCACACCACACCCTCACCACATAGGTGCTGGCGCTAGGGACAGAGCCACCACTTCACACCAACACTTGTGAGGCCAGGACATTAGTCACATCATGTGGCAGTGGCATGCAGGCTGGCACAAGGTCACACAGCGGAGTGTCCAGGTCCTGGTGGGCCCCTGCTGTCACCCTGACCCACATGCATAGGCTTCCTTTCTCACTGTGTAGTGACGTGGGCCTCCTAGATGACAAAGGCTGCCAGAAGACAAACCAGGACTGAGAACGGAGGCAGACCCAGGGAGTGTAGCGAGCCGCTCACTGGCTACCGCAAGAGAAGTCTGTGCATCCGCCTGCTCTGGCTCGTGGGGGGCAGGGAGCCAGCCTGGCAGGGCCCTAGACACCTGGCCTGGGAAGCCTGTCCAGGAAAGGCTGGGCCATCCAGAATGGCAGAGGGAAGAGGGGCCCAGAGGCCTCTTCAGACAGTGGAGGGGGTGCCGAGAGCCCAGCTGCAGGCCAAACCATGTCTGGCAGACACCTAGGAGGCATGGGATGCCCTCTGAGCACTGCCCGATGGTGAGTGTCATGCTGGGTGAGGGGCTGGGCCTGCCCTGAGGAGGTGCCTAGCTGATTGCTGGATGCACAGGCCTGGAGCTGGGGAGCAGCCAGCTGAGGCGAAACATGAGGGCCACTCCTGTGTGGCTTCCTCAGGCTCATTCTCTTAGCTAATTACCCAGTGATGCCCAGGTGACTCCAGCACACCTGGGATCTCATTTGCAGGCCTGCAGAAGTAGCAGCGGAAGCCAGGGCCCCTGGTGGCCTGCAGAGGAGCTGTAGGCAGACACTGACCTCTGCTGCCTGGCTGGCTCCTCCTGCCGCTTTCTGGACACTCCAGGGATTCTCTGGGCAGCCTGTCAAGCCTTCCCAGCTGGCCCCACAGATCCCTCTCTGTGACTTTCCACAGCACTCATGTGTAAACCCGGTCCTCACACCTCTGCTGGGCAGGCAGCGTGCTCACTCTCAGCTTACACGTGGGCACACAGGCACAGAGCCAGGCAGCAACTGGCCTGAGGTAACACAGCCAGTAAGAGGGGAAGCAGGGGCCAGTGTCTAAGGCCCAGCCTCTCCGGCAGACCCACATCCAGGGGACAGGGCAGGACTGCTTGCCCCAGAGCAGCCTGAACTGGACTGGCCCCACTGGGAGTAGTGCACACCAGTCAGCAGGCGGACATGGACAGACGGACACACACACACACACACACACACACACACACATGGGCCATCCAACTGCAGTGAGCAAAGACATGACTGGGGCAGAAAGAGCCACACGTCACATGGTGTCACACACCAGAGAGTCGGTGAGGGGATGGCCAAGGAGAGTCCCAGGAAATCTTCTGGGGGTTGTTCTCTGGAGCGAATAGTGGCCATGAGGGGCCCCTGCCCAGGTGAATGACGGAACTGCAATCACATGCACACGGTCACCCTGCCATGCCCATCTGTTGACATCTCAATTTGAACAATGCTAAAGACACACAAACAAACTGACAAGAATATCTGGGGTTTTCTGCCACCTTGGCCACCAAGCGCACCTCCTGCCCCTGACGTCTTGGTGAGTCCAAAGCCTGCTGCGTCCACTCGCCCTGTTAGCCTCAGCTCCACTAGTTACAGGAACGAGTCTGTGGTCTGCTGGCACTCCCTGCCTGTGGCAGCCACCAGCCTGGAGTCGGGGGTTGAGGTGAGAGGGAGGCTGCCAAGGCCAAGAGGGCAGGGTGCCCACCCATTTAGCACACCTGCTGACCCCACCCCTGAATGTCCCCTGAATAAGGGGTGGCAACCCCTGCTATCAAGACACCTCCCCAAGGGTGCTGAGCAGAGAAACCACTGCTCCTTAACTGCCGCTCTCCTGTGGGACAGCTTCTTCGCTGTGGCTAGACGCCCAGGAGAGGCCAAGACAGGGCCACCTCTCCGAGAAGGAGGGCTGTGTCCCCATTAGGAACCAGGGGAGTGGAGGGTTGCTCAGTGTGCTGGACTCACTTGGGATGGCACATGAAGGGGTTGCAGAGGCGCTTCAGAGAGCATGGTGCCCTCCAGAGGCCACGCGCTTCACCTGCACTGTCACCAACACCAGGGCATGTGACCACCTGGCCAGGGACTTACAGTGCCTGGCCTGCCTACCACTGTTTCCTAGCCAGAGAAGGGGGCCTAGCACGTGAGAGCCCCCTGCACACATCTGTCGAACGAGTGGGTGGTCCTGGGTGCCTGTCCCACTGAGCCCCAGGCACAGCAGAAGTCCAATTCCAGAGCTCCCAGCAGAGGCCTGCAGTGGGACAGGAGGGCCAGGCCCCTGGGCTGCAGCCTCAGTGCCCCTCCAGCTGGGTTCCAGCTGGGCACAAGAAACCCCAGTCAGTTGTAAACCAGCTGCAGGCACTGACTGCCAGATGCGCCTAGCTGGCCCTGGCCTGCGGCAGCCTGCAGAGGCCACCAGGCCTCTCCCCAGAGGGCACCTGCTCCTGGAGCACAGCTGCCTCTGGCTCAAGGCCGCGCCCAGCCACGTCTGGCTGCAATCTTCAGAAGGGCATCTGCCTGTAGGGACACCCTTCACCCCTTATTATGAGGGGCACTAACCAGGGCTGTTTCGGTTGAACTTAGTCCCCCAGAAAGATATGCTGAAGCTCAGGCCTCGTACCTTAGCTGTGATCAAGTTAAGATGAGGACAACCGGTCCTGGGAGAGGAAGAGGCGGGAAGAGGACACCCAGGGAGAGGCAGCTGGAGCTGAAGAGGCAGGAAGGGGTCCAGAGAGATCCCAGCTCTGCCCAGCCCTGGAGGCTGGAGCGGGAGGCTACTGCTGCCGTGGGAAGCTGTGGTCGGTGGGCCTTTGTCATGCCCAGGGGACCCACGCAGGCCTTTCAAAGGATCTGGACAGAAGTGTGGGGTGAGGTGGCTGCCAGGCAGGGCCCCTGAACAGTTGCTTCTACCCGTGAGGGAGCCCAGGGGTGCAGCTTGCTCTCGGGCACGGAGTAGTTGAGTTGCCCAAACCGAGAATAAACAGTGTTATTAGTTCTGTGAGGAAAACAAAGGTTCTGGTGAGTCCCTGGCGTAGCAGGCACTGCTGAGAGCCAAGAGTAAACGCAAACTCCTGGAAGACTGAGACGCGGAGGTATCCTGGCAGCCTTGCTATAGTGGGAGGCGCTGCTTGCCTTGCCCTGACTGCTGTCCTGTACCTTGCTGAGCCCTTGGAATCATCTACCTCAGGGAGGTGGTGTTTCATGTGAACCTATCTTACAGAGGAGGAGACTGAGGCTCAGAGAGGCCCCTTTAGCTGTTGGAGATCACAGAGCTACTGAAAGCTGAAGACAGAATTTGAGTCTGGGTCCCCAGAGCTGGGTCCGATGCCATCCTCACAACATGAACTTTAGGGCTGCCTCCAGGACTTCAGCGGGTCCTGGAGCTCTAAATCAGTGGCCAGTGGCTTCCTTAGCCAGGTTGGCCACAGCTCCGTTCCCTAGCAACAGGCCTGGGAGTAAAGGAGGGCAGATGGTCCTTTTCCTAGGGGCGACTGCTCATCAGGGGAAGGGCTGTGAACTCAGCAGCAGAGCACAAGGAGGGGAGACTCTGCCACAGTGGGCCCAGCAGTGTGCAGGAAGGACATCCCAGTGGAGACTTGAAGGCAGGCTGAGGAGGGAGGGATGGTTTGCTGGAGGGCCTGGCCAAGACCAGAGGCATCCCTCCACGGCACATCTGGACTGCTGGGGGGAAGTGGCCGCTCTCCAGAAGCCTCAGGGAGGTAAACCTCCACCTGAACGGCTGGAGAACGAGGAGGGGCAGTTCTTGGAGTGACCCCACTCTGGTTTTGGCGTCCCACCTGCTCCCTGGACTGGCCCATGGGCTGCTAGTGTGTTCACAGGGTGTGTGAACTCTAGGCTGAAGGGGACCTAAGGCTCCCAATGCAGGTGTGCCCATGGCCAGAGGGGGGAAGGAGCTCTGTGCCCACCCCAGAGATGGGCCTGGCTGCAGGGGGCTGCCTTCTCTGGGGTCCTTACAGGGCCTCCTGCTGGTCTGCAGAGTCACTGGGCAAGCCATGTGCATGTGCTTAGCTGTCACATTCAGGGCAAGTCCATCTGCTGCCCCAGCTGGTCCCTCTAACTGTCCCCTGGCAGTGGCCAGGCTCACCTTGGATGAAGGTCTGGTGGAAAGGCTCTAGCCCTCGGAATGGCCACAGTGGGGGTGCCTCAGCAAGCACAGGCTCATCCTCTGGCCTCCAGAACATGCTGGGTGTGAGGCTGGGAGCCTGGGAACAGTGCTAGGCTCTGGACTCAACCTCCTCAGCCAAACACCCCCGAGGAACACCATCACAAGGCCTGCCCAGGGGCCTGCTCAGTGACCTCCAAGTGTGAAGAGCTGTCTCTGCCCTGAGTCCACCCATGCCAACCCTGATCAGGGGCTCCCTGCACAGTTCAGGGACTGCCTGGCGGGGCTGCCCAGCAGGGCTCTGTCCTGCAGTCAGTGAAGGACCAAGAAGCAGTCTTTCAGAAGGGACCAGAGATAGCCAGGCCTGACTCCTGTGGTCACTCCTCAGAGTGAGAGCTATAGGGTTCAGAAGGGGTCAGGGAGACAGGGTCACCTGGGGGGCAGAATTATCTGAAAGAACACAGGGTATCAGGCAATCAGGGCCATCTAGGCAGGGGTCAGAGCCTAGAGGAGCAGAGTTCAGGGGTAGGGGCTGTCCTGGGATGTTCCCCAAATGGAGTCAGGGCAGGGAGTAAGTGCAGGCCCAGGGGTGCTGAACTAAGAGGCAATGGGGTATGGGGTTGCAGAGTCCAGCAGCCATGGATAGAAGGAAGGGAAGTCTGGATGGGTGCAGAAGGCTCTGAGAATGGAAGAACAAGTGTGGGGAAGACCCCAGCATGTGGGCAGGAGTCATAAGACGGACACGTGGCCGGGCATATCAGGGATGTTTGGGGTTCCTATGTCCAGAGCACTGATAAAGTGGACTGGGGAAGGGGTGTGTCCAGAGCTGACAAGGCTCTGGGTCTGGAGGCTGATAAAGACGGAAGGAATCCCGAGGCCCATGTTCTGGGTACTCCCCAAGGTAGAGAAGAACCCGTCTCCAGGGGCTGAGAGCATTAAGAGCATTCTGACCCCATACGTGGGAGTTGACAAAGTCTGAGGAAACCCTGGACAGAGCCCTAGGTCACCCAAACTCTGTCCCTTGAATTGATCTGACAGCCCAGATCACTGCCACCCCTGTGGCCAGGCTGTTGGACCCAGGTCACCGCAACCTTGACTACTGCATTTTGGACTGACTGTGCCCCATCATTCCACCCCTGAGTCATATGCTGCTGGGACCCAGGCCATCCTGACTTCTGTGTCCTGGGTTTACTAGCCCCCAGGTCACCCTGACCCCTGTATCCTGGGCTATTGGGCCCCAGATCACCCTGACTCCCAGTTCACCGTGATACTGCGACCTGGGCTGATGGGGTCCAGATCACTCTCACACCTGTGCCCTGGCCCCTGCATCCTGGGCTGATGGGGTCCAGGTCACACAAGCCCTGCATCTTCGCTGATGGGGCTCGGGTCACTCTCACCCGTGCATCCTGAACGACAGTCTAGGCCCCCCTGGGCCCAACGTCCTGGGCTGATGGCTCTGACCACCCCACTCACCTCTGGCGCTGCCCGTCCAGGGCGAGGCCGGCGGGCGCCGTCGAGGGGCTG